GAATTTCTCCTTACAATATCAGTACAATATCAAGCAGACTAGTGATGAGAATAAAGAAAATATCAACAAGGGGATTATTAGTTGTTCCAATACTAAATTCTCCAAACTAACATCATAAGAATTGTATGGCAGACAGTAAGGAGAATTACTAATGAGATCTTTGGAGTGAAATGTTGGTCCCTGGATGAAGCATTGTCCATCATGCACTGTTAAAAATTATTCATTCATATCAAATTTAATTTGTCTCAATTCATTTTGTAGGTTTGGAATGTACAGAGTGGATCTCTACAGTTTTCATGCCAACACAGCAGTGAAGAGTATGTTCTCTCCTGTGATGTTTCTCAAGATGACAAGAAATTATTGTCAGCTTCAGTGGATAAATATGCAAAGGTAATCAAACCCTGTCACTTCCTTCTATTATTGGCAGGAAGGCATACAGGTACTTGTAACAAGTGAATTATGATGTTGTGATCATTGATGAGGGCAAGCATGAATCAACTATAATGCATAGAAACTGAAAGTAAATAATATTAGTATCTTAATTCAAAACAAAAGAGCCTCTAACTACCAGGACATAAAATTGTTTAACTGCTAGAAAGTTCTAAAATTAGTCCAAAAAAGTTTTAATTCCCAATATTTCAGCTGAGAACTCCAGCCTTTATCAGGGTAAATTGAGCAGGAAAAATTTACAGAAAGCACAAATTATGATGACAAATGCAAACTCAAACAATTGTTACTAATAAGTTGTGTCCATTAGCATACATTGTCCATACTTGTGTGATCAATAAATGCCATTTTCATGATTGAGCAGATTCCTGCAAATGTCAAAATATATCTAAAAAAAAGTCTGTCTATTCAGTGTATTTTTTTCAGTACAATGTTAAGCTACATATGTTGCTTGCTATCTGTCACAGAGTAGATAATGAGTAGCATTAAGCCAATCAAATAGCATCATTTCTGATAGAATACTTTTAGGTTAACCATAATAAATGAAATAACTTTTTTCAATATGTGTTATATATTAATTAGGTTTGGGATTCTTCCACCGGAGAGCTTTGTTGCTCTTTTGGGCCACACCCTGATGTTGTGAGGTCTGCGTCATTTTCACAAGACAACAAGTTTATCTGCACAGGCTGCGATGATGGAACTGTCAGAGTGAGTTCTTGCATTTTGTAAAACAATACTATTACCATCTCTTGCAAACTTCTTAAAATATTTCATATGAAGCAGATTGTTTTAGAATATACATGGCAATGCAATATCTTCTTCTCATTTCATAGGTGTGGAATATGTGTGATGGTAACAAAGAACTTGCTGTTTGCAGTAAACATGATGCTTGGGTTGCCAACTGTTGGTTTTCAAGCAACAGTGACCTGTTGGTATCTGTCAGCAACAATATAAAGGTACTTCACTGTAAACTTGATATTTTTCTTATTTATAAACTTTGATTCTATTCAGCAATCAGATTATGAGCTCAATATGTCCACTGGGTGACAGCTGATGAGGGCACAGCCTGAATCAACTATCAAGCATCAAAATGGAGATAAATAATCTAATTATTTTAGTTTAAATTTATGAGTGGTTTGAAACCTCATAAGTCAGGCTCATGTAATTGTGGGGTTTAGTTTACAACCGCACAATGTTAATCAACCCTTTAAGCCCAAAGAGTGAGTGGTGTCTTCCTTCTCCTTACATTATCACCGTTGAATCAAACATTAAGGTCGTGGGAATAAGGGACATGATCACCCATAAGGGAAGCTCTTGATTACTAAACAAATTCTCCTTGTAGGCACCGTAGGAAATGTATAGAGAAAAGTATGGAGAATATGCATACTCGACTTACACACTTGTTTTAAAAATCTGCATTAGTTTTGACGCTAGGGTGCTTACTATCTATCTCAGACTACAAGTATCATAGAGAAGTGAGCAGCAAGTAGCATGGCAAATCAATTTGCTGCATGTTTGATAGAATGCCTATAAATTAATACTAATAAAACTTAGTTGGTTAGATCATGGGAATTTTTGAAAATTTCAATTTCAATGATTATTTTTATGGTTCAATTCTGTTCCATTCTTCTCACTCTTTCTTGCAGATTAATTCCAAAAGCTCACTTTCTATTCCTTCTGTTTTAATTTAGTGGTGGAAAAGAGATGGAACACTCTGTCAACAATTTAACCTCAAAGGAACCCAAGCCAAAAGTATCTATGTCTCTCCAGACTTCTCCACTTTTGTATCAGTGGACAACATAGGGACAATTTATGTACTCAAAAGAATCACATAGGAGCTGACTAGATACATGTTACAACTTCCAGCAAGTAAACCAAGGTAGCGCAGTGGTACAGAATGGACAGATTTTGCACTTCAGGGAAATTAGATTGATTGTAAATCTTTTCGTTGTTGATGTATGCCTGTGGATGTTGAAAGTGGTATGCAAGTAACAGAGTCTGGTCTCAAACTGACTTTTTGAGATCCAAAAAAAATCTGAGGTTACAAGAACATTTTTGAAGAGATTTAAGTTGCACCTAACTGTAATAGATTTTAAACATATCTATTGCTTATAATGTTATTGTTTAGAGAATTCAGATTTAAAAGTTTGTTTCAATGTTTTCAAAACATGATTCTATTCCTCATGGGAACTCAGAATTTTTTTCTTTGTCCCATGCTTATGACAAGGTGATAAAACATCTTTCTCTATTTCTTAACCGAGCTTAACAACAATAATTCTATTCATAAGGCCATTGCATGTAACTTTGTTAGAAGTTTACACCACAAAATTTGGTCAGTGCATTCAGGTTAGGGTTAGTTTTAAAAGTCAGTATTAGTTTTGATTTAAAATTAATGCTGACTGCATTTCAGGCACCAGATGGTGTGGTGTTTGTAAAATCTTGATGATAGTTTTGCTAGTGTGTTAGCAAAGTTCAGACTTTTCAAATTGAAGAATGACAGAATTATTGTAAGGCAACAAGATAAATCAGATAGAATAGACATTGGAAACTCCTTTGCATTCTTAGCCAAGTTCTACTTTTTTGTAAAATAACTACCAAAAGCCTAAGTTTGCCTTTATCAAGCTGAAAAATAGAGGTGGCAAAATCAAAGCAAAAAGAAATTTACAATAATATACTTAAGAATTTCAGGAAAAAAGCATATACCAGTAAATGAAAAATTAGTGTTGGAAGATTCCCTTTACCTTAAATATTTTTTTAAGGATGGCATGTGCAGTTTTGATCCTTGTACTTCTACTGGTCTCTTTTTTATGCTTGAAGCTTTCAAACTGTTGCACTCATAAATTCTGCAATAATTTTTTTGTACAAGCAAATGCCATTGCTCTCACTTTGTTGCCGTGTTAAATTGCACTTACCAATGAGAGGTGTATGCATTGTTTCATTTCATATAGTTTGCACCATAAAACTGCTTAAGTTAAAATAAATTTTTAGAGAATGTTATTGTAGGTGAAGTATTTGTACCAGTTCATTTCTTATTTGGTAGAAGTAATTGCCTGCAGTGCATTGTGGGTTGGAGTTCACGTTGTTGGCCTCTCCAAGCTTGGATTGTCAAGTTTAGAGGGTGTCTTTTAGAGGGAAGAAATTTAAAGGTCTCTTTTACCAGTGGATGCATTGAGACAACTCTCTCAACTTCAAGGTTATGATCAACAAACATCTCATTTGAAAACAGAAAGTTGTATCACACCACTGATTTACTTGAAGGATGTTTATTTTTTTGTACTATTAACAATGATCTTGGTTAAATTGTTCATTGCTGAGTTGAACCTGTAAATCCACCACGGCCACGACCATAACCAGCCCTCTGTGAAAAAGAAGGGGGGAAAAAAAGGTTGCTAACCCTCAAAGAAAAACAAAACTATTGGTAACCCAGAGAAAGGTGTTAGTTTACAATATAAACAATGTCTCCAAAAACAAATGACTTTGGTTGCTTCAGTGATAAAAAAGTCCCACATTATAAACAAAGCACTATGCATGTTATGCTATTAGAGTTGTACAATGGAGCCGGCCTTCAGGAAAGTTCGTCATTTGTTCTAAAGGGAATTACCGGAATATCAGTTCTAATCTTAACATGCTGCTGAAATGATGGTGGGTCAACCAAGAAACTTGATAACCAACAGTGTCTAATATTTAGTAACATGTTCAAAACTAAAAGGACAGGGTCCAGTTGTTCAGAGAGCAGATATCACTATCCAACATATAATTGTAGACAAAAACATTCTATGTCATCCATCAGAGAGATTTTTATCCCATGGATAGCATTATCAACCCTTTAAAGAGCTGGGGCTAGGACTTGGCTCTTTGTTTGTTTCCTTCGAGGGAGCTAAAATTTTAAGCTTTAAGTTTAGGGAAACACTTACAAATTCAGGCTTGAAGTCTGAGCCAGCACCTCCTTTAGGTTCCATACCAGGGGCAGGACCACGCCTGTAAGCCTCACGGTCGGCAGAGTCACCAGAGGGAGGGCCGCGGGGTTGGTCTGGACCTATGAGTCAGGATTGAAGTTGTAAGAAGATACTGGCAGTTCTATTTCCACTCTGTTCCCAATAAATTAATTTTGGACCTTGCTATATCATGACATACTATATTAAACTTTATGATCCATCATATGTTTTTGTTTGACTAACGCAGCATGTGACCAATATTCCTCAGCTCAAACTGGGGGATATCTGAGGATATCACTCGAGTGATATTCCCCAATTTTCAGACCTACAATAAGTTTTTGTTTGAAACTTAATTCAAGATGAGAGAGTGTATTGTGGTTGTTACAGAAAAAGGGAAATATTTTTTTGTTCATTAAGTTGTATCAGAGAACAATCAAAAGAAAACATCTTGCACAGCAAACAGTAAGCCATTCATAAACATTTTACCACCTGTGTTGCAGAATATTTGAAGGATAATGAAAACAATAGCCTAAATTTTGCACAAAAGTATGTGCTTTTGTATTTGTCTGTGGACATGATCTGTTCCTCAAAGCTTACAGTTTTCCTCAAGCTTTGCTCTCAGAAAACTGTTTGCATCTTGCAACAGATGTATGCAGTTCAATGACCATGCATAATTTTGTGTCAAATAGAAGATATTGTTTATATAGAACCTAACATTAACTAAAAACTAGGACACTCCATAGATTGAGGTGCAGAAAAGTTTGGAGAGAGAATTTTGACTGCAAAATAACTGTTGGTATGGGCAGCCTTCCTAGTTTCCAATGGTAACTGAATCTAAAAAGACATGCACCACTGACCAATAAGTCAAATGATATGTTGCCACTGGAAACAACATGAGAACAACATGATTTCAAAGTCAAAATGTGATCTCCAAACTTCTGCCGCTTTTCACTCAACTGAAAATTGCAGTTAAGTGATTTTTGGTGAGTGGCAGTGAATTGAATTCATGAAACATTTAAAGATTATTTAAAACTTTGGCTGACTACCAACCAAGGCAAAACAGTGTTCATCAGTAGAGAAGCAATTTGCTAAGAGGAAACTAGGAGGGTCCAACAATAACTTTAAACTCTTTAACTCCCAGAAGTGATGAACATGTAGCTTCTCCCTACAATATCCCTGCTTTATCTAGCAAACAGTAATGAGAATACTCAAACTTATCAGGTAGAAGTCGTTGTCTTGGTATAACACCAGATTCTTCTGCACATTTTCACTAACTTAGGAAATGTGTAGTGGCTTAAGGGAAGAACAACCAATCAAATCTCAGAGTTAAAGGGTTTGCAAACCAACGCACCTTTAGGTCGTGGCCTAGCTGTTTCAGTCCTGGCTTGTCGGCGAAGAGTAGCTGGTACAATCTCAGGAGGAAGGTGAAGGAATTCTCTGATGTATGTGATTCCTGAAAGCAAGTCATTTAAAGTGTGATTAAGCCGATTAAATAACATTGCATGATCTCCATGATTAATTCTCTACATGTTGCACAACGTGATGAGCACCCAACTAAAGTTCACACTGCAAGCTTTTTTTGACAAATTTAAAGCAAATCCTAATTTGGAAAGTACTGTTCAAGTTTGAATAATGCCTTATACTATGGGGCCCACTTATGTAAAGGGTGCATTACACTATCCAACAGATAAATTGCTAACTGGAATAATTGTTAACAAAACATACTGCACTGTACACCAATAGAGATATATCCAGTGGATAGCATCTATCCAGTCTTAAAACAACCATGGCCAATTCTTTAAAAATATTACAAAAGTACAACAATCACAGATTACGAAAATTAGGCTTGGGATGCAACAAAATTTGTCTATGCCTTGCTATGAACAAGTGGCTATCTATCTTAGTGGGTAGTTGCATACAAATAGGGTCTAGTAGCACAGATTTTGGATCAATATCAGTATCTGGGCAACTGCCCACCTACCCCTCCCCTAAGGTTAATGTTGGGTGGGGGGGGGGGTAGGTGGGCAGTTGCCCAGATACTGATATTGATTCCAGATTTCAATCAAACTTCATCATCATTGCTAGCTTGTTCTAATAATAATTTCTTACCATCATTGGTGAGGTACCAGTAGTACCACTGCCAAGAAAACTTCTCTTGGACATATCCACGAGATTTTAGGGACTACAAAATGAAGACATATTAGTACCACAAAAAAATAGTCTAGCTTCTCTACTTGTTCCCCCATCCTAAAAGAAATAGACATCATGAAAGAAAAATACAATAATCAATCCTATGTACACCTTGACGTCACTATCTAAATGAGATACCTCATTAAAACAGCAGCACAATTTTATTTACATGGCAACAAGTCGCAACACCCCAGCTTATGAAAAGGTCTGTATGCATTTATGCATACAAAATCAGATTTTTTTTTCTGACTTTTTCTGAACCATTTTTTCTTTTTTAAAACCACACTTTCCAGCCAAATAATGAGGCTAAAATAGCAGAGAAGTTTCAATGATTATCCATAAAATTGAAATTTCTTAGCTTTCCTATTTATAAAATAATGATTTATTATTAAAATTATAAAATAATTTATAAAATAATTGTTGCTTCCAGAGAAACTCATATTAATTCAGCTATTTTTTGAAGATCTCAACATGAGCGTTTGTTTTAGCTTAGGACAAACTTCACACCTCTTCCCACTTTCCCTGTTTTCCAGGTTTTGATATTCTGATTGGATGTTTCTGTTCTTTGACAAAAATTCAACACTCTATACATACTCTGTCATGTGTGAAATCAGGATGTTACAAATTGCTAGAAACTAATTGATTATTCAATTTTACTCGATAATACGCAATAATTTTTGATCAACTGAGTGGAGTCCAATTCGGTCTGTAATAATATAAGGGATTAACAAAATTGGATGACCATGAAGCCGGAGTCCAAATTGTTAATCACAAGTATAATTACAGGCAGAATTGGACGACACAAAGTGTGTCACACAGGTGTCCAATTATGGCTAACTGTTCAATTACACTGTCTGATTACAACTCTATAGAATGATTAATGAAAAATGAAGCAGCTAGTGCACCAATCACATTTGCAGAAATTGTAATGGTTATGATTAGCCAAAATAAGCAATAAGTATCAATAACCACAAGATTTAGGCCCAGATTACCTATGATATCAATTTGATTGGCTGAGAGAACAAATGAACATTAACTAAGAATTAAGTAAGGGTTTGTCTTATCGGAAAAGTAAAAACCTCTCCCATTCTTGACCATAATTTGTGATGATTCATTCCCATTTGAAGCAATTTATAAATCTGGAGCTCACACAAACATAGCACACAGAAAAAACAGTGAAAAACATGTATACTCTGATGAACGTGTTGTACCTCAACCAAAAGAAACTAGGCTGAGTCACTTCACGTGTGGAATCAATTTCTACGACTATTCTTGCCATGAATCAGCCTGGGTGAATTGATCAGCCGAAATACTTAAGAGTCACCATTTCTAGCTATCTCCGCAGATTTCCAGTATTTCGTTGGTGCCTTTCCGTTGATAACCACAAACCTTCGCCATCGATTTTTATCGATAATTGATATTAATCGATTACGATCAATTTTATCTAGTATCAAAATTATCAATTTGTATCGTTCTAGCAAAACAAAACCTTCGTATATTACTGATTTTCATACCATCGCAGCTTTGATGACCTCCAAGTTTGGAACTCCCTCAATTTCAGGATGCTTAGCGAGATTAAAATCCTTTTTGGCCACCATGATCCCCTCCTTGAAGAGGTACTCGTATATAGCTATTCGGTTTTTCTTGGGGATCAACATCCTTTAAAAATAAGCGAGCAAGACGAATGATTTAAAAATTCAGTCTTCTGAACGTCATTCACTATGTGAGGGGCTTTGAAATCAAAATACATTCCAGAATTGTGGATAAAGCTTGCTTCACAGAAAGGCTTTTAAAGGAATTCAATAAGCAAGGTAAAATAATAGATAAATTTCACAGAAACTGCGTCTAACATGACAAATTGGTATGAAAAGGTAACAACATTGTACAAGGCATTTTCTTGCATTTCTTTAAGTTTCGCTGAAAAAATTTTCGCGGTAGGAAGTTATATGATATTCAAAATTTTTCATTTTATTGAAAATTCGCCAAGTAGTGAATGGATGGTTTAAAATTCTTGTGGATTGCTTCCACACTACTCACTTTCTTCTCCAAGATGGCGACCACAGTGAAAAGAGAACGATTCGAGTATGCGCGAGATCTAGTAGCCTTGGTGGCCAAGCCTTATCGCAGGAACAGGAATATTTGCATATGGCCGTCTGATGAAGTTTTTCTGAGGAAACTTTTTAACCGCTAAATTTTAGAAAGAGATAATTAAATAAGGAAATATTATTTTCGCAAGGTGCAATTGCCTGTACATATTATGGAGAGAGAAAAAAAAATTTTTACCCTCTTACTCCTGGTGGTGATTGATATGTTACTTATATTAGAGACTCCAATATGTTATCTTGCATACAGGCTATGAAAACAGACGAACTTATCAGCTTGAGGGTGTTATCTTGATAAAACACCAAATTCTTCATGCTAATTTTCAAGGAATCGTGTAGGAGTCAGTTGGGAGAAGTAATTATTGGACCTTGGGAGTTAAATGCACTAATGCTTGCTGTATTCCATCATGAGGCTTTATGACTAGAGAAAGTATATTTTATCTTATAAATATAATAAATTACTTTACAGAATTTTAACTTTTGTTTCAGTGTCTCTACTTGGATCTTGAGCTTAGCCTTATTAAATGCAATGAAAATACAATTGTGACCCAACATACTGTTACATTTAATCCACCACAAAAATGAACCACAAGGATTCTTTAATATTTCTTGAGTCATATTATTTATCCTACAAAGATAGAACTTACTTTGAGTATATCGCCAAATAAATAGATGTCATATGATGAACATCAGTTTTGTTTGAGAAATGGATTGATCAATAATAATAAAAATAATAATATAATTGTGTTCAAATCTCTGGGAAAAGAGAAACACTATGAAAGGCAACACTGTGAAAGGCAAACAAAGAAATATTAACCACTTTACTTGTGCTCTTAAACACTCTATGAAAAAAGTCAGGATCACTTCTTCTCTAAGAACTTATCAGTTTTGGTTTACTAAGTACACCATTGTTTAAAACACTCTTACATGGCTACAATACCTATAAACTTAGATCACCCTGGAAAACCCATAAAAGTCTTACTATGTTTGTAAAAGGGGCAAAGGCAGGGTCCATTAGGGTTCTAAACCAGGGTTTTGGCATTTGTATGCATTCCGTGTGGAATTATCATTGATCATTTATCCATTAATTCATCACAAAAGAGAGGAATTCAGAAGCCCACTTGGACCCAAACCCCCGTATAGCTAAGCTCTTTCATAAATACTGTTCTTGTGAAGAGAGGCGTGGATTTTAGCGATTTCCCAATCTCCGACAAACACTTGGTAGCGGATTCTCAATTTCCACATCTTTTAGATAAGTCCATTGTCGATCACAGCGACATTCAACACCACACTTTTCTGATCCACAAGAAGGACAAGGAAAATGGCAACCGGGACAATTAGTGTCTTGACAATCACACACATCTCTTCCATCGGACATTCGAACACCTGATCGGTCGTGGAAAGTCTGTTTCTGGGGCCGTCTTCTTTGCCTTTGTCTCCTTTTCGCTCGGTTAGCAGGGTCCTTTTTGATCAGTCTGTTTAATTTTCGCATTTCACGGCGACTTGTATCAGGGTTAAATTCTTCAAGTAATCTTCCAGGATTCTTGAACTTCAGAGAATTCCTTAATTTCTCTGTTTTAGAGCTTTCCGAACCTGTAGATTCCGTGCGAGTGATTTTTGCCGGGTCATTCAGAGAAAATCCCATGAGGATTGGTGTTTCGTCTGATGTTACAAAGCTCGCATCCCCGACGACTGGCAACTTGATACTCTTTTCATCACTCTCTTGTTGTGCTTCTAATGACATTTCACAATTTCCTTAGTTTTTCCAAGGATAGGAAAAAGAGGTATGTCAAAAAAGGAGTAAAAGGTAAAATTCTCCCAAAAAGAAAGTCATTTCGCCATTTTGAACAGACAACTCTTACCCAGTCCAACTGTGCTAATGTACAAAAGATTACTTCCGGCGAGAAGTAAAACTTCCGGTGACTAATCACGATGAAATACGAAAATATTTTGCGCAATTTTTTCAAACAAAGGAAACGGAAAAAATGACTTCAGGAGTAACACATAAAACTGAGAAAAAATACTTATAACAATAGCCTGATTATTCACGCTTTAATGATCCATCTTTTGAAGAAATATCGTTCTGCAGCATTGTGGGTATCAGCGAAATTTCCTTTTACTGTTACATGTTTTTTGTGTTCAAATTCTTTATTCTTTTTAATTCCTCGGGTACAACTTGGAAAGTGAAAATTTTGTTAACGATATCTTAACCTTTTTAACTCCCAGATCAAATTTGTAATTCTCCTTACTGTCAACGATACATTCTTATAATGTTAGTTCAGAGAATTTAGTATTAGATCAATTAATTATCCCAAATTGATATTTTTCCTTATTCTCGTCACTTCTCTGGTTGATAATGTAAGGAGAAATTCTGTCTCGGTCACTTATGGGAGTTAAAGGTTAAGGAGAAAAACCGGGATATCTTGTTTACAGTCCAATAATTATGATTGGCTAGTAAACAATGAAAGCTTGTTAAGAAACTATTTCCGGAAATCGTTGCCTAGCTGTGAAGAGGCTAATTTGTTAAAAATTTATCTCTAATGGTGTCCGACGGTAGAGCCGAGCAGCAAATCGTTGTACGAGGAACTCTTTTGTATTTACTTTGAATTGCATTAACGTCACGTCAAAGTGAATAATTTTACGATTTGTTCTTTCCACGTTTCATGTCCTGCAGGCGAGGAGGACAAACTCGACAACATCAGACACTGACGAGAAGAATTTCGTCATGAAAGAGGTTCGTTGTTTAAGGACCGTCTTAAGTCTAAAAATTTTCATAAAATCTTTACCGCTCTTAATTTCGATGATAGTGACGCTCTAAATTACCTTAACTTTGATAAAATTGCTCTTTTAAAGCCTGTTGTCATACACTGTTTCAGAAAGACGAAAATTCAAAAGACATGCATGGGGAAGCTCCTTCAAGGCAATCAGCGAAGGACGAGGCGACATCACCTGAACAGCAACCGGGCTTTTTATGGAAAGTATCTGGTGGCGTTTATAACAAGGCAGCCACAGTGGTTGGAGGAGTTGGTTGGGTTGCGGGAACGGCATTATCAACGACGTTTAGCGCTGTATCAGCCGTAGGGGGAGTTGCGCTAACACCATTCAAAAAATCAGCAAAGGACAAGTCTGATTGATGCTGTGTGTCGGAACAAGGGCCCTCTTGAGGAAAATTTCCTGTGGCATAATGCCAAGAGTTCTATTTAGATATCTTTATTGACGAAGACTTTCACATTCACTGACACATACAGAAAATAAGGTAACATTTTGTCGAGTGAAATGGAAAATGCATTAATTTTGGAACCGAGGGACTGGATATATTTCACAGAATTTTCGTGGTATCTCGTTTCACAGAGAATTGATGCTTGCATGCGAAAACAGAATAACTATTTTTTTGTGTGATTTTGTAGAAATAGTAGATAATTTCGTGAACTTGAAATTGTAGAGAAGTGATGAAACACCATTATTTTCAATTTGAAATTTGCTTGCTCAGCTGAGCGCCCCGAATTGGTAAATCTGTCACTGTTTTTTAAATTCGCATTTTCCTTTCAAATTTTTAAGTTATACTTGTATACACAATGGTTTCGAACTACTCTATTTCAGAAAGCTCTGTAATTTATAGCTGATGAACGATAGATAAAAATTGTAAATACAATACTGTTTATATTAATTTCCTTATTGAGAAAGGAAAACCGAATAGAAACTTAATATATTCATTATCCACTGTGAAGGTTTAAAATGAATCTCGGAATTTCATTGAAAATTAAAATTATTATTAAAGTAGAGATGCCTCAGAATTTTATCGGTAAGTTCAAAATACTTAATCGAAATTGAACTTGTAATTTCTCAGCTAAGAAATTTTGAGATCATAGTTCCAGACAGAAGAATTTTATTTCTGCAGACAAGAAGTGCCTAATTAAGTTAACCAGCTGCTTTAGTTGTGGGAAGGTCTTCTAATCAGAGCTGACTTGCAAAATGGTAGCTTCCAACACAGTCCAACCTGTATTAAGTGGTCACCCATGGGGAATGGTGTAGTAACTGCTTAACCCTTTAACTCTGAAGATCTGATTGTTAATTCTCCCCTTAAGCTGCAACATGTCTTTGTAAATTAATTGCAATAATTTGGTGTTAGACATCTTCTGCCTGAGAATTTGAGTATTCTTATTACCTGTTTGCTGGATTGTGTATGGAGATTACGAGGAGAAAATACTCGTTAATCATTTCTGAGAGTTTAAGGCTTAATTTAGGTAGACCACCTAATATTGGTTCCATAGATTGGGGTATTATAAAAAACCATACACAATACCATGTTATGCCTTAATTGACCACTGAATTACAGAACACAAGTAAAAACACTATTTACTTTTATTTTGGGAGATCAACAAGGATTAGTAATTACTTGATAGAATATTATTAGTTATATTGGAATGGTTTCACCTTCAGTGATTGTTCCATACAGGTGGAAAACAATAAAAACAGGCTGTTGGCTCTTAGTAAAGTGTAACTGTGATGGCTTTATAGAGGTAACTGCTTAACAGAGGTGAAAATTATAGTGATTAAGAGGAAAAAATTTTGGGACTTTAACACCTGACTACTTTATACAAGGTGACTGCTTAATATAGTGCTGCTTAATGCAGGTTTGAATGAATAATGAAGCTTGAAAAATTAAAAATTCCACTCTCTGCAAGGGATTTAATTAAAATCCTGCTTGTCGGTGGTTTTACTCAGTGAGAAAAAGAAAAAAGTTTCTCTTCTGGCACTGAAGACTACTTATTCCAGACAAGCCATCAAAAATTTTTTTTAAGCTCTGCCCCCAAAATTGAGGAAAAAGAGGCTTTAGTTGCCTAAAACAGAGATGGGTATTTGGGTCCTAAAACAGAAATACTGATACTGTTTTTGTGAACATTGCATCACTCACCTACATGGGTCACAACAGGCATTTGCCATACCTGTGGCCAAGTTGAGTTTCTCTGCACAAGTCTTACAATATTGCCTATGACCTTTGAGTAAAATCATGTTTTGTTTGCTTCAGACGGCCATAAATGGTTTTCTCTCCCAAGGGCCCATGCAATTTTTATTGCAGAGGTCTGACAGTCAGTGCCTTTGCAGAAGTGTTGCTTTGTAAGATCTATGACAAATGCAGGGTAATTTTAGACTTAGGCTCTCTTTCAGGAAGCCCAAGTAAATATTGCTCTTGCCTTAGTAGTTGCATATGCACTGGGAAACATTTGTCATCATAAACCTAGATTATTTTTTGTCATCACCCTTGATTACAAGCCATTTAGAATCAGTATTACTGGCCTCTTACTTAGTTATGTAGAGTATGTGAAATTGGTTAACCAACCATTGGCTTTCAACCTAATCCACCCTTGCAGTATGCAAGATGGGTTCTCAGAAACTAACTTTGTCTAACATTAAACAGGTTTTTTACTAATTATATTATCTCAGTTACCCTTTATATAACAACTGATGTTCACCCTTTTACTCCTTATGGAGTGACTAGCACCTAATTTCTCCTCACAACATCACCTCGGAATCACAGTTATGAGAATAAACAAGATGAAATGATCACCAGTTAAGGAAGCTCTTGTTATTAAACAAAATCTCCTTGTCAGCACCTCAGGAAATGTATAGAAAACAGTGTGGAGAATATACATACCAATGTTAAGGTGTAAAAGGTTTAACAAGTTATTGCAAAAACATAACATAATTAATGGAAGTGATGCACAAAGTAGATGGACTGGGAGAGACAAAAGTAGCAATTCCAGTGGTATAAATATTAAGTTTATTCTATTGTTTTGTTTAGATGGTTTGTATGAGCGCTAGATAATACAACTTTTTACTGCTCTGGACTCTACTTGGCAAATTCTGAGACAATAGACATGTATATACAATATGAAATATGAAAGGATGACTGACAGTTTTAAATTTCTTCTCAAAACCAACTATGAGCAGCCCTCCCCCCTTTTTTTTTGGGCCAGGTCTCTTGTGTGAGTGAAAAAATAAGCAAGAGAAAATTGATGTTAACACAATGCACAGAACTCTGGGAGCCAGATACTCAAGAAGTAGGGATGGGCCTTCTTTTCATGCACATCCACGCTGCTTGCTAAAATCAATTATTTTCAACTGATTTGTTTCACTTTCACAATGGACTTTGCTGAAAAAGAGGGGCAGCTCATAGTCTAGATGCTCATAGTCTAGATAACACAAAGATAAGGCCTTTTGATGCCAGTTTTAAGTTTCCTTGTCTCTCTTTGTTCACAAGGTATTATCATGCACAGATGATTGAGGTGATTGAACTTTTTTCACATAACATTAAAAACTTCTAAAACAAATTAAAATTAACAAGTAAAGCGGTAGTTTTAAAAACAACAGTTTTGCATATGAATTTCTAATTTACCAGTATTAAATATGTTTAAAATCATAAACTCCAAAAAAAGACATCTGCAACACAAGTTTTCATGGTCATTGGTGATAACAGCATTTCACAGCCATGCAGGTACTTTATAATCACCTCTAAACTTCAACTGTTGTTACAAAGTAAGAAATAATTTAAAACTATGTGTATCATTTAGCTGCATGTTCCCCAAAAGTTGCTATGGCCACATTTCCAGGTGTTCTTTTTAGAAGTTTTAGTCTCATGGTGTCAACTGCTTTTTCTCCAACTCCATCAGCTGTGATCTCTACATTATAGTTGTTTGCCTGTAAAGAAACAAGAATACTTGTTTGATCTTCTGCCCTACAAGAAAGATTTTTCTTAGTGTAGCTCATTAAGATTTAATATATTAAAGTTCACAAGGCAACCTGGTGGACAATCAGACATAGTTTAACCATAATTTGAGCATACTGATAAAGGCACCAGGCAGGAGTGTGGAAACATTAGGTCTATGATTGTAACTTCTTGGTTATGTTCATTAAATCTTTAAACCAGAGTAGCATCAAACCATGTTTGATTGTCCACCTGATTGCCTTGTGAACTTTAAATATATCTTATTTGGGAGAAAAGTATGGTCAAACTGTTCTTACAAGGGTCAACCAGCTTGCGAACATCAGAGTCTACCTTGCTAATTATCGCTGTCTTTTGTACTACCTGATTCCTATTTCCACCTTGTCAGAAAAAGGCAGCTAATTAGCAAGCATATAAAAGGACCTCTTGATGCAGCAATTAGATCACCCCTGATGAAGGCACTAGACAGGAGTGTCAAAACATTGGGTCTCTGAATTGTAACTTCTCAGTTACATTCATTAAATCTTTAAACCAGAGTAGCATCAAACCATTCCTCATTAAGATTTGTTGCTCCCTTTTTGGTGATCCTTCTCCCCTAAGTTATGCATTTAGATGGATGCATTTGGTCCTGTTCAGCTCAAAGCTGGTTTAAATGGAGGCCTGTATAATCAATAGCACTGGGAGTTGTGTTCCCTACTTTTTGCAACAAAGTGTGTGGGTTTTTTAATTTCTCCTGTTAACCAGTACAGAGAAGATGCAGGAGATAGGGCCTAAGTTTTATCATTCTTATCCAAGAAGACTAGAAAGCCATATGAGAATATCTTCTCTTTCTGCCATTTTTATTCTTGATCTTTGGAATAAAAGGATAGAAACATTTAGGACAAGGATTATTAACAACTCTCAGACTTAAAACTTTTGAAAACTAAGATGATGTGAGAACTCACCAGCTGCAATGTTGCTAGAAAAAACCTACATATTTCAAATGGTTCCTGTGCAAATAAAAACAGAAAACAAAAAGGTCACAAAAAACGGATTAGTAAACCCCTCTTATACAACTCTGGTGTGATTTCTTGCCAATGAATACAATAATAAGCTCAACTCCAGTCACAAATTGGTTTAAAAACAAACCTTTTTGTTGCTTTCTGAGCAAAACATTTAAGCTAAATCTCTTGTAAGAACTAGTTTACTCATTAACTGTGACAAAGTCATGAATTTTTGTGAAAGAATGTAAATATTGGATGCAGTTGGGATAAATATTACCTTTTCATGGGCTAGCTGTCTAAAATCTTGATTACTATTGCCTGTGAAAAAATGTTCAGAACACAAAGTAAATTCACAATTGTGTATTTCAGTAGCAGATCCAGGGAGGTGTGCAAGGGTTCTGGACCTCCCCACCCATCTAGTCAGATTTGTGGGTTTGCTTTTACTACTTGTCTGACACCCAAATTCTTGAAAACCAAGACGGCTGGCTGGCTAATTGTTTTGTCTGGTGCCGAAGGGGCATCAGTTAGTTGAGAAGTAATGTTGACCCTGCTACCAAAAATTCTTCAGTCCAAATGGAAAGGGAAGAGGGAGGGGTGTGTGTGGTGGAGAACTAAGATGCAGACAGTTTAAGAAACTTGTTGCAGTAATTAATGAAGAGAGATGCACATAATTGGAAGCATTGAATTTTAAATCTGGGTTATAATCCTGTCTTAAGATTCAACTGTTAGGTCACTATGGCCTAAAATACTTATGCTGCTATTCTTGAAATTCTCTGATGTCATTTCCACTGTGTGGTTCTAAGGAAAATGTTTGCATTTACCCTCTCACTCCCAAGATCTTGTTGGTAATTCTCCTTCCTCTTTGATGTACAATTCTTATGCTGTTAGTTCTGAGAATTTGGCATTGGATCAATTATTAATTCCCTGATTGATATTTTTCTTTATTCTAATCATCTTTCTGTTTGATATTGTATTGGTATTGTAAGGAGAAATCCTGTCTTGGCCACTCATGGAAGTTAATTAAAAGCTAAGATAAAACAACTTTCTGAAGCAGAGATGATGCAAGTGGTAGGTGGGCTCATTTAAAAACAGCAAGACATCTTCTGGCAGAGAAGTTACTGCACAATAACAATTTTCAAAACAAAGATGGAGTGAGTGAGAGAGTAAAGCTTTAAACAACAGCAGTACAGAAGCCATTGATTTGGAGTTTGTTTTAACAAACTCTACACTTGTTACCTTTAAACGAATCAATAATTTCTTCTCCATACTTGTGAATATCAAATGGCCGATGTGTCTCCTGCAAATGGAGTAAGATCAGTAAGTTAACCCTTCAACTTCCAAGATTTGATTGTTAATTATTCCCAATAGCTGCAACACATTTCTGGTAAATAAGTTACCGAAATTTGGTGTTTGATTGAGATTGACAACTTCTACCTGATAAGTTTGAGTATTTGCGCTACCAATTTGCTGGAAAATGGATGGATATTATAGGAAGAATTTACATGTTAATTACCAGTGGGAGTGATACAGTTAATGACAAATTTACCATCGATAATGGTGGGAGAATTTGATATAAAAAATGCATTAAAAAAATAATGCATCTTTGCAAGGCTGCCCACTTGTGCACCAGAAGTGAAAATCAAGTTGCATCTGGCTTATAAGTGACACATCTCTTAATGCTTTTAATTTATAATTCACCTCTTCTGTTAATACAGGGACAATTCTCTCTTCCCATTCTCTGACTCTTCTACTCAACTCTGTTTCTTGGGCATACTGTTGACGTGCCTCCAAAAGGTAACTGTCCTGTGTAGCAGGATCAAGTAAATGGTTAGCAAACAAGCACATCAGTGCTCCAACTGCAACTTTTTTCACCATGGTTTGAAGAACAGTTTTTGCTTGTAAATTTGCTGCAGAGTCCCAATTTGACAACAAGAATCACCAAGTGAGATTAACATTTGAATGAAATACTGTTACCACCTTTTTTTTATTAAAAAAAGAAATCTATATATATAGCCTCCTTCTCCTTCATTGTACAAGATTTGGCATGAATTTTCATGAACAATTTACAACTAAAATTATTATTTTTTCAATACAGTTTGGAAATCAAGTAATATTACATTTTTCTTCTCTGGCAACTGAACTGAACTGAACTTCATCTGACAACCATTTTATGACTCCAGGTTGCCAAATGGGGATTTTTACAGGCCAGTGACCATGACCATGACCATGAAGTCCTGCATATAGGTTTAGAGACAATAAATGTTTGAAAATTGTATCAGTTTTAAGTTATTTGATAGCTTTAACTAATGGAAAAAGAGTAACACTCACCACATATTTCCTAACCATTTCTTCATAGCTTGAAATAACTACACCATCTGCAGGTTCCTCCAGTGCTGTGAAATTAACAGAACAGCTTTTGAATCCAACATGTGGGTTAAAGGTCACTCCCTTGTTCCATCTCTTATCAACTTGAGAACCCAGGGCTGGCCAGACAATGGACAAGGTCTAGTCAAATCTAGGTTTTCTTCCGGTCAACTCCTACAATGGCTGCACATTTTGTCTCATTGTTTACCCATGTAAAGATGAATTTAGTTCCAAGCTAAGTTCAGGCTTTAACTATGACTGTCACTTTTTGTGCATCGAATTTGAGGCTGCATGTACAGCAAAAGTGGGGTAAATATATAAAGGGGGTAAGTTCCTAAAGAATCTGTGGTGGGAGATTATAACAGGGTAGCTCTGACAAAGGGCTAAAGCTCAAAACATCAGCTTTGAAACTCTTTACCATTGGCCAGTTGATAATACCAATTTACCTTGTGGTAAATATAGTTGTTTCATAAGGGAGAGAGTGGGGAATTTATGGAGATATTTGGATTCTGAAGACATAAGAGAATTGAATCTGTTGTTCTGTTCCATTTCTTGTTCTGTAAATACTGTAATAAAAAGAACAAATTTTAGCTTAATTTTTACCCATTGGCTCCAGAACTTCAGCACTGCCAAGGTCCAACCCTTCATCTACTCCTCCAAAATCATCACCATCGTCATCAAAATCAGCTGGATCATCACATCCAACTCCATTGTCATCATCTGAGAGGAATAAACACAACCCAATAATTTAACCCTTTAACTCCCAAGATGAGATTGTTGATTCTCCCCTCTAGCTGCTACACATTTTCTTGTAAATTAGTGCGAGTTAGATCAAGATAACAACTTCTACCTGATGGGTTTGAGTCTTCACCTGTTTGCTGGATGATGTATGGATATTATGGGGAGAAATAACATGCCAATCTCTTATGTGATTTCAAGGGTTTAAGGGAAGACAAACAGAGGCTTAGCAAGAAAGTTTAGCCTGCAAACAAGTCCTCATTATTGGTACTGCAGGAGGCATGTTTCTCTACTGCCAGCAGTTTTGAGATGAGGTAGGTAGAGGTTTGCTGGGAGGTCTGGCACTATTATTGAGTGCTGTACCCCCTTTCAAAACCTCTTGCTGGCTGGCTGGTATGCTCAAGGTCTTGTACTTTCTAATGGTTGAAGAAACACTAGTGCCATAGTGCTATTGAAGACAACGAGAAGAAAAAGGTTAGGGCAACACTACCATTGACTCTTACCATATACTTGCCCATCTGCATTCTCTTCTCTATTTTCTACAATTGAGTTCAATTCCTCAATTTCCTCCTTGCTTGCAACCTGAGACTGAATTAAAATGTGGTTTTATCTGAGGTATATTGCTACACATCATAACAAATATTTTTTGAGGGATTTTCAAACTTGAAAGTTTCTCTTGGTAAAAAGCACAAAGCATAGACTTCTTACCAAAACCTTCCTCAGTTTGACATGGAGTTTTTGTTTCTCTCTGTATTCTGCCCAATACAAGTATTCAAACTCTGTAAAATTAAATTTGTATAGCAAAATAAATACAGCTGCATTGAAGGTTCACCCATTAACAGCTTCATGAGAAAGATTCACTCCAAGCAGTAAACAAACAAGCATTACTGCATACCTGGAAATGATGGAATTTTGAGACTATTTTTGGACATCTTTGATGCATGTGAGTAAACTGCAAAGAAAAGAGTAAATGTACAAAGTTGTGGTGATTTATTGTATTAAAGTTCTACAAAATCAAAGAAATAACAGTTTCTCTTGTGATATGGTCACCTTCCCTTTACATTATTCCTTTACACCTTAACATCAGAATGCATATTCCCCATGCTGTTCTTTATACATTTCCTAGGGTGCTGACAAGGAGAATTTGTTTACCAATCAAAAGCTTCTTTAGTTGGTGATCATTTCCTTTATTCTCATGACCTTAATGTGTGATTCTGGGGTGATATTGTTGGGAGAAATTAGATGCTGGTCACTCTTAGGGTTTAAAGAGTTAATAGATTGTAAATAGCAATATTTTGTTTGTATACTGCTGTCAACCCTGTAACCCCTAAGACTGACTGACTGGGATCAAATTCTCCTTACAGCATGGCTGCTGAATCAATCACTGAGGTCATGAGAATAAGGAAAATAGTGGTATACTAACAAAGCTTGTGATTGTGAAACAAATTCTC